CAACGTCATTTGTCATTAGAGAAATGCAAATGAAAACCAGAAATATTCCACTACACACCTTATTAGAATGACTTAAATCCAAAATCTAAAAATATCAAATGTAACAGGGGATTTTTTAGAACAACAGCATTCCCATTCCTTGCTAATTAAATGAAAAATGATACACCCACTCTTTAGAAGTGAGTATTGTATGACCTATTCATATGACATTCTGGGAAGTTCCACTCTAGGAACTATTAATAAAAACAGAGCATAGTTGCTAGGGCTTGGGAGAAGTACAGAGATTGACTTCACAGGAGATACCCAGGGGAATTTTAGACTGATGAAACTGGTCAATGTAACAGGACTCCATGCATTTGTTACAATGCTTATAACTTTACATAATAATATGATATATGTAAGCTTTGAAAATTAACCCATGGTTTGGATTTTTTAAAAAGTTATTGGCTACTGAAAGACAATGGATTTTACAGTGATGATAAAACAAGAAAGCAACAGTAAGGAAGCTGTTCCATAGTCTAGGGAAGAGATGCTCTTAGTTTCACCCCAAAGCAGTAGTAACAGAGATTACTGAAATAGATGGATTTGAATGAACTTTAGTGGTTGAGAGAACAGAGATGCTATTGCACTGGATGGGAATTAAGAAAAGATATAGGCATCAAGCACATACACACACACACCGCGCGTGCGCACGTGCACACAAATCTGCCACTTTTCTATTAGGCAAAAGCAAAATTGAACCGTGATTTGGTTCAGTTTATTGTTAATTTATGTCTATTTTATAACCTCTCTGATACACACATATTGCTACTTCTTCCTTAAAATCTGGGAATGTCCTCATTCATGGCAACTATGGTACAACTTCACTGGCAGTGGCAGCATGTTCACTGAAGGCTGAAACTAAAGTGAGAAAAGGAACTGAAGATGAAGTCATGTTGGAGAAAGGTTGATTCACTCTTTAAAAGAGTCCATGACACGGTCCCAATGATTCAATTCGAAACATTAGTCCCTCTCTCTTCTGGACGGAAGAGAGGACATTTAATCCATGTTCGGAGGTCCAAAGATAGATTGTCATTTTCTTTCACTTCCATAAGAAGTGCTCCTTTTTGGGACCTCAGAAGAACAACTCCATGAGGATAATTACCAAGGACTCATGGGAGCCAGAGCTGGAAATAAAGCCACAGCTGCCTCCCAGTCTTGGAGAAAGCTTCGTGTGTCGTGGATTTCACCTGAACACTGAGGTTCGATACACCATTTCTCGGCTAGCAGAGGGCCATCTGCCCCTGGACACTGAGCCAAAGCTGAAGAAGGACGTCAGCTCATCAACAGCTGAGTTGATTCTGGCCATAGTGGATAAACAGAACCCAAGCTTCAGTAAACTCTCTGGCTCAGCCACAGGTCAACTACCTTTGGGAGTCTCAGGGTCCTGAATCTTTATGAGGGTCCTGTTAGAGTAAGAGAAGCAGAAATTCCTTTCATGTGGATCGCCAATCCCATGTGTTAGAGGAGACAGGCATCTACTCCAATCACATTTGGGCACATGCACGGATTAAGGTGACCAACTGTTGTGGACTGGTCAGGTTTCTTCATCACACAATATAGCCCGTTCATGATTTGTCTGAAAGGAAAACTACTCCGTTCTATTTCTTAGATCCCCAGAGTTACAGAGGTCAGCAGAAAGACTGGTCAAATAGGAGGGGGGATAACTACAATCATTGGCCCAGGTAGCCTTCCTCTAGCACTGTTGAGTTTAAGGCTACTCTGAGAAAGCACAGGATCATGAAAGTAGCAAGGCCTTCTATAGGCTGGACAAGGGCAAAGGAGCAGCCATTGCCTCTCTTCCCCTTTGACTCATATTATCTTGCTTCCTTCTGTTACTGACATGACCAACGACCCCAGCTCTTTCAATCCTTTCACCTCTATCCTTACTGATGCTGTATATATTTTTACTGCTGACTCCCTAAAAATTAATCTAAACAGAAACTTATTTATATTCTGTATAGTCCGTGATATTTGAAGATTTTTGTAATATAGTATTTTAAGTAGGCTTTGAATCTCTAGTGATAGTTTGTGTATGGTGGTGAAGAAGGGTTCCACTTAAATTAGGATTTTTATATGGATACTCAGTTGTTCACTGACACCTATTTCTGCAAGACTGTTCCACGTTCTCTAAGGCTTGTGATTTTTTTTCTATCAGTTAAGGGCATATTTAGGCTGGTTTGTTGCTTTTGTTTTCTCAGGACTGTCCACTCAGTTCCATTGGCTATGGACAATTCCTGCATCTAAATCTCAAACTCGTCATTACATTAGCTGCTTTGTAATTCTTACTATCTGGTAGATAATTACTCTTTTTCAAGATGTGTTGACTGTGCTTGACCATTTGCACGTCTTTATATTTAGAATCAGGTGATCACACATGTCCAAAGCCATTTGGTTGTTTTGATTTGGGATTGCAATCAATCTATAGATTCTTTTTTCTGGAAGAACTAACATATTTAAAATATTGAAACTTCATACCTATGAATTTATTTTATTTTATATTTATGTAAGTCTTCATTAATATGTCTCAACAACATTTTACAATTTTCATCTGTAAAATTATTTTTGGTTAAGCATTTTTCTAAGATACTTGATACGGTAGTTTCTAAGATACTTGATACGGTAGTATGATAGGTTAAAAATTATATATTCTTTACTTTTATTTTCATACTCTCTCCCTGACAGAAAAACAAGTTGACATTCTTTGGAATACCGATCTGATATTAGCAAACTGATATATTATTGTATATTGAATAATTATCTTTAGTTCTTTTTTTTTTTGAGACGGAGTTTAGCTCTTGTTACCCAGGCTGGCGCGCAATGGCGCAATCTCGGCTCACCGCAACCTTCGCCTCTCCGGGTTCAGGCAATTCTCCTGCCTCAGCCTCCTGAGTAGATGGGATTACAGGCTTGAGCCACTGCGCCAGGCCCAAATTATCTTTAGTTCTTCTGGGTTCTTTTCACGCACAGTCAAAGCATCCATTAATCACATAAGCTTGTTTCCAACTGGCCAATCCCCATCCCTTCATTTATTTCTTTTGCATTACTACCCTTGCTACTACCTCTACTATAAAAAGTAATAGAAATACTCATAGCAGACACTCTAGGTTAAGTCCCAAGTTCAAACTAGAAGCTTTCAACATTTAAAATATTTAAAAGATACATCTGCTTTAGGTTTTTCATACATATCTTTTATCTAGATTGGTAACTTTTCATATTTAATAAACTTTATTTTAGAATAATTTTAGATTTACAAGAAAATTATGACAGTGTTCAAGAATATTCTTATATGCCCATAATCTATTGCTTCTGTTATTAAGGTCTTACATTGGTAAGTTATCCTAAAACTAATAAACCAATATTGACACACAAACATCCACTGTTTATTAATAAACATACTTTACTGATATTTATTTCCTTGTAACAAAATTCTGTTTTCTGTCCCAGGATCCCCTGAGGATACTCCATTACATTTATTCATCATGCCTCTTTACATGCCCTTTGGCTGTGCCAATTCACTGACACTTTTCTTGATTTGGAAAACATTGACAGTTTAGAGGTATATCATCAGGTTGCCTTTGATTATGAATTATGTGATAATTTTGTTTTGATTTGATGTAGGTTTTGTTTCCTTGGACGATGAAGTGTCATTGTTATCATATACTGACAGCACATAGTAGCAACATAATTTATCACTGATGCTGTTAATTTCATTCCCATGGTGACATAGTGTTTACAGTTTTCTTCGGGGTAAGTCATATGATTTTTTTCCCCCCTGTATCATACTGTCATATTGGGAAGGACGGGAAGACCCAGGACCAACCAGTAGTCAGATGAGACCTCTGAGGGAAAACTGCAGAGATTCACTGCCCATGAAGAGGAGGATCCACAGAAACCAGCTTCCCACCTGCTGTCATCCCTGGGAGGCCCTGGGGCTGGTGGCCCACTGTGATGTCCCCTGACATCTTAGTGGGCAGAAAGAGGAGAGGGCTGTGCTCAGGTGACTTTCATTTCAGATCACGAAGGGGGAAGGGACGCAGGACCTTCCAGGCATCCCCAGGATGATACAGAGGAAGAACCGGCGAGGTATCCCACCCCAGACACAGAAGGACCCACAATAACCAGCCCTTGTTTTCACCCCTAGGAGGCCTTGGTCAGGACCATTAGGGAGAGATGCTAGCGTGATTCATTTCCTCTTGGGGGTTTCATGGAAATAGGAACCTGGATCTGAGGAACAGTCTCTGGAGAGGAGGGCGACAGAGTGGAGGCCCTGTCAGGAATAATATGCTAAAGAAGGACTGAGGGGCCTTCCCACCGCATTTCAGACGGAGGGCAGTGGAGCCCTGCCTGGGCCTGGGAGGCCCTATCCCACTGTGGTTGGATGTGTTGCTACCTCTCTTGCACCCTGCAGGTCTCAGGGATGGGAGGGGCTTATTTGGAGGTGAAAGACTCCGACCCACAGAGTCAGTGAGTCCAGGCGCAGCCCCTCGGGAAGGCTGGAAGGGAACACCCAAGGCTGGTAGTGTCCCTCCACTGTCCCTGTACCTGCTGCCAGCTCCGGAGGACCCCATCAGGGTCCCAGATGTACAACTTTCTGACTTCCATTTTGGGAGTCAGCAAAAAGGAGACGTTTTCTCGGAGGAGGGCAGTTTCAGTAAGCAGAGGGAGAAGCCCCAGGGCTGGCCACTGAATAAAAGAGAACTTTGTTGACAGACGGTAACCTCCCAACACAGAGGGGAGTCACAGGCTGCACCTAGCCACACTCCCTGCTGTCAGCCCTGGAAAAAGGTGGGCTATGAGTGTGAAGGACTGCGGAGGTGGGAGGGAAGAGGTTGGTAAGGTTTAGGGAGTAAGCAAGGAGGCTTGCAGCGCATCCGAGAAATGGGAAGGAAGACGTGAAAAACAGGAGGAGGGGTGGGGGATGAAAACGAGGCTGAGAAGGGGTGGGGCTGTTCCTCCGCAGAGAGGAGGCCACACCCCACGCTGCCCCTGCCGTCAAGCCTGGTCAACCCCCGCAGGGTTCCCGGATGTGCTTTCCCAGCCTCCATCTTCTAAGTCTTGGAAGGCATTTTGTGAGGAGGCGCGATCTAGGTCAGCCGAGGGAAGTCTTAGATCCAACCAGTTCTCAAGGTAAGGGCCCCGAGGGAGAACTGAGGGACCTACCACCACAAAGAGAAAAACCCCCGGCCCGCCCTACCCCTGCTTTGGGACTTGGAGGTCACAGAGGGTAGAGAGCAACCGAGGGCTGAGGTACAGGAATACGACAACCGAGGGCTGAGGGACTGGTCCTCCTGACGGGAATAGGGCAACCGAGGGTGAGGACGGGTCCTCCTGATGGAATAGGACAACCGAGGGCTGAGGGACGGGTCCTCCTGACGGAATACGGCAACGAAGGGCGGAGGGACAGGAATACGGCAACCGGGGGCTGAAGGACGGGTCCTCCTGACGGGGAATACGGTAACCGAGGGCTCAGGGATGGGTCCTCCTGACGGGAATAGGGCAAACGAGGGCTGAGATATTCGTCTTCCTGAAAGAAGTATGGCAGCCGTGGGCTGAGGGACTCGTCCCCACCAGAGCAATTTTCCTGCCAAGGCTGATAAGAGGGGCAGGGTTGGAATCTGTCCTCTGAGGTGGGGGTTCCCTTAGTCCTCAAAGTGTCCCTATTTATTCCCTACGGGGCCGGCACCTCCTCCCTTTTTTGGTCGTGGGGATGCGTCGCTCAGCTCGCGGCAGCCATTTTCCTTCCAAGGCTGATACGAGGGGCAGGGTTGGAATCAGTCCTCTGAGGTGGGGGTTCCCTCAGTCCTCCTCAAAGTCTTACTGTTTATTCCCTACAGGGCCGGCACCTCCTCCCTTCAGTCGTGGGGATGCGGCGCTCAGCTCTTGGCAGCCATTTTCCTGCCAAGGCTGATATGAGGGTCAGGGTGGGAATCTGTAAGCAGTAACTAAAAGTGTCTGTCTTTGTCTAAAACTAGAAAAGACAGGCGCACCACACCGAGGGCCTAGGAGTCTTCTGGCAACAGAGGAGGCTGAACCGGGGCTGCAGCCAGGGAGGTGGCACTGGGCTTCCTGGGGAGCCCGTCACAGGCAGGGCCTATTCACGACGCAGGAAGGGCCAAGGTTGGCCTGCAGCCCTCCGCCAGGACCAGACGTCTGCAGGGGCTCCCCTGAAAGCCAGCAGGCAGTGCTGGTTCAGGTGAGTATCTTCCTCTGGTTTATTTTTTTAAATAAATCCTCTCTTTCCCGCCTTTTGCTACCCCCACCCTTTCAGATCCTGCCATCGGGGTGGGCGGCTAGGTGGCTCTGTAGGGAATAAATAAGGAGACTTTGAGGAGAACTGAGGGAACCCCCACCTCAGAGGACAGATTCCAACCCTACCCCTCATATCAGCCTTAGCGGGAAATGTCTGCCGAGAGCTGAGCCACGCATCCCCAGGACCGAAGAAGGGAGGAGGTACCAGCCCTGTAGGGAATAAATAGGAAGACTTTGAGGAGGACTGAGGGAACCCTCTCAGAGGACAGATTCCCACCCTGCTCCCCGTATCAGCCCTGGCAGAGCTCCCCAGTTGGCTCAAGCTCAGCCGCAGCCCCCTCATTTCTGAGTGAAGGGTATCAGGGACGGGGAGGCCTTGGTCTGAGGGTCCCATGGCAAGTCAGCAGAGGCAGCTGCCTCTACTTGGCAGAGGGAAGATTCCCAGGCCCTGCTGGGGATAAGAGGGAGGACTGAAGTGTCATATGTGCTTCAGAGCAGATGTGAGGCTGCCCCGACTGTCCCTGTGGTAGAGTATGGGATGTGGCTGCCTCTTCACTACCTCCCTCTGCTCTCAGGGATGTGGAGGTTGCTCTGAGGTTTTGCCTCAGGCCGGCAGAGTGGTAGGAGATGTGGCCTGGTTTGAGAAAATGTGACAACGCTAATAGAATTCTCAGTGGGCCACAAACCCCAGAACTGTGGGGCTCCGGATGTCTCGGCAGCCCCAGCTGCAATCTTTAGCCAGAGGGGCTCTGTTGCTGCTGCTGCTCCTTTTTTTTTTTGTTTTGGGAGACGTTTGTGTCTTGTCACCCAGGCTGGCATGCAGGGGTATGGTTTCAGCTCACTGCAACCTCCACCTCCTGGGTTCAAGTGATTGTCCTGCTTCTGCCTCCCAGGTAGCTGGGATTACAGGTGCCCACCATCATGCCTGGCTGATTTTGTATTTTCAGTAAGACAGAAATACATGTTGTCCAGGCTGCTCTCAATCTTCTGACCTTAGGTTGTCCACCCGCCTTGGCCTCCCAAAGTGCTGGGATTACAGGCATGAGCCAGAGTGCTCAGCCCTCTCTCACTTCTTCTTGCAGGGGATCCAGGAACCAGGAGTTGAAGACCAGGGTCTGAGTTCCACTTCTAAACTCAGCACAGCAGAGGAGGCCCAGGCAAAGCTAGGAGTCAAGGTGAGTGCACACCCTGACAGTGTACCAAGGGCCCTACTTCCCACAAACAGAGCAGACATGGCAGCACCCAGTCCTAACCACCTACTGCCATTCCTGGTGCCCCAAGCTCTGCCAGCCAACTGTGCCCTGAGGTGCTTTCTCACATTCTCCTACAGGTTCCCACAGAGCAAACGCCCTAGGAAGACAGGCGATCTGTGAGGCCTAGAGTACCATCTTAAGAGAAGGAGAGTTGTAAGGCAGCCTTTGTCAGAGCCATCATGGGTGAGTTGCTCAGCTGAGACCGCTCACACGGTCCCTATCTCCCTCAGGCCTGTGGGACCCCATCATTCCCATTTGTGCTCAGTCACACGTTTACCTGCTGCTCCTGAACAATATTCATCATGCCTCTCTTTCCAAACCTTTCATGCCCCAGCTTTGAGCAAGACTTCCAGAGCCCAATTTTAATACTGGAGTTGGTAGATTCACAGGATCCCAGAGACGAGGAACAGGAGGAAACCTCCTCCATTTATCTTCGTCTTTCTACTTTTTATTCTCCTCCTCTTCCTCCTTCTCCTCCTCCTCATCTTCTTCCTTCTCCTCATTCTAATTTTTTTCTCTGATTTTGGATGTTCAAGCAGACGAGGAGATGCCTGCTGCTGGGATGCCGAGTCTTCTCCAGAGTTCTCCTGAGAATCCTCAGAGTGCACCCGAGGGGCCTGACCAGTCTCCTCTCCAGAGTCCTGTGAGCGCCTTCATCTCCTTCACTTCATTGAGTCTTCAGAGTCCTCCTGAGAGTCCTCAGAGTTCACCTGAGGGGCCTGTACAGTCTCCTCTCCTGAGTCCTGTGAGCTCCTCCTCCACTTCACTGAGTCTTCCCCTGAGTTCCCCTGAGGATCCCCAGAGTCCTGTGAGCGCCTTCATCTCCTCCACTTCATTGAGTCTTCAGAGTCCTCCTCAGAGTCCACCTGAGGGTCCTGTACAGTCTCCTCTCCTGAATCCTGTGAGCTCCTCTTCCACTTCACTGAGTCTTCCCCTGAGTTCCCCTGAGTATCCCCAGAGTCCTCCTGAGGGGCCTGCCCAGTCTCCTCTCCAGAGTGCTCTGAGCCCCTTCGTTGCTTCCATTTCATTGAATCTTTCCCAGAGTTTCCCTGAGGGTCCTCAGAGTCCTTCTGAGGGGCCTGCCCAGCCTGCTTTCCAAAGTTCTGTGTGGTCCTTCTCCTCCACTTCACTGAGTCTTCTCCAGAGCTTCCCTGAGAGTCCTCAGAGTCCTCCTGAGGGGCCTGCCCAGTCTATTTTCCAGAGTTTTGTATGCTCCTTCTCCACTTCACTGAGTCTTCTCCAGAGTTTCCCTGAGAGTCATCGGAGTTCTCCTGAGGGGCCTGTGCAGTCTCCTCCCCAGAGTTCTGTGAGCTCCTCCTCCTCCAGTTCATTGAGTCTTCTCCAGAGTTTTCCCAAGAGCCCTCAGAGTCCTCCTGAGGGGCCTGCACAGTCTCCTCTCCTGAGTCCTGTGAGCTGCTCCTCCACTTCACTGAGTCTTCCCCACAGTTTCCCTGAGAGTCCCCGGATTCCTCCTGAGGGCTTTCCCAATCTCCTCTCCAGAGTCCTGTGAGCTCATTCTCCTCCTCCTCCCCCTCCTCCCTCTCCTCCCCCCGCCTTCCTCTCTTCCTCCTCCTCCTCCCCCTCTTCCTCCTCCTCCCCCTCCTCCTCCTACCCCTCCCTCCTCCTCCCCCTCCTTATTCTCCCCCTCTACCTACTCCTCCTCCTCCTCCAGTTCATTGAGATTTCTCCAGAGTTCTTCTGAGAGTCCTCAGAGTCCTCCTGAGGGGCCTGCGCAGTCTCCTCTCCTGAGTCCTGTGAGCTCCTCCTCCACTTCACTATGTCTTCCCCCAAGTTCCCTTGAGAGTCCTCAGTGTCCTCCTGAGTGGCCTGCGCAATCTCCTCTCCTGAGTTTTGTGAGCTCCTCCTCCTCAATTTCACTGCGTCTTCCACTGAGTTCCCCTGAGAGTCCTCCTGAGGGGCCTGCCGAGTTTGCTCTCCCGAGCTTTGAGTCCTTCTTCTCCTCCACTTCACTGAATCTTCTCCAGAGTTTCCCTGAGAGTCCTCCTGAGTGGCCTTCCCAGTCTCCTCTCCAGAGTCCTGTGAGCTCCTCCTCTACTTCACTGAGTCTTCCCCAGAGTTTCCCTGAGAGTCCTCAGAGTCCTTCTGAGGGCCCTGCCAGTCTCCTCCCCAGGGTCCTGTGAGCTCCTTCTCCTCCCTCTCTTACAGTCCCCTGTGTCTTCTCCAGAGTTCCACTGAGAGTCCTCAGAATCCTTCTGAGGGGCCAGCCCAGTCTGCTCTCCAGAGTTTTGTGCGCTCCTTCTTCTCTGACTGTTTGAGTCTTCTCGAGAGTTCCCCTGAGTGTCCCCAGAGTCCTCCTGAGGGCCCTTCCCAGTCTGCTCTCCAGGGTCCTGTGACCTCCTCCTCCTTCAGTCCATTGAGTTTTCCCCCGAGTTCCCCTGAGTGTCCCCAGAGTCCTCCTGAGGGCCCTTCTCAGTCTGCTCTCCAGGGTCCTGTGACCTCCTTCTCCTTCAGTCCATTGAGTTTTCCCCCGAGTTCACCTGTGTGTCCCCATTGTCCTGAGGGCTCCTCCCAGTCTGCCCTCCAGGGTCCTGTGACCTCCTTCTCCTTTGGTCCATTGAGTCTTACCCCGAGTTCCCCTGAGTGTCCTCAGAATCCTGAGGGGCCTGCCCAGTCTGCTCTCCAGAGTTTTGTGCGCTCCTTCTTCTCTTACTTTTTGAGTCTTCTCGAGAGTTCCCCTGAGTGTCCCCAGATTCCTCCTGAGGACCCTTCCCAGTCTGCTCCCCAGGGTCCCGTGAGCACCTTCTCCTCCTGTCCATTCCGTCTTCCCCTGAGTTCCACTGAGTGTCCCCAGAGTCCTCCTGAGGGGCCTTCCAGTCTGCTCTCCAGGGTCCTGTGGGCTCATTCTACTCCTCCACTTTATGGAACCCATCCAGTGAAGAGTCCAGCAGCCCAGCAGATGAAGATACAAGAACCTCAGACACCTTACTAGACAGTGAGTCCTTGACAGATAATGAGTCCCTGACAGCCACTGAGCCCTTGTTTGCTCATACACTGGATGAAAAGGTGGATGAGTTGGTGCAGTTTCTTCTTCTCAAATATCAAGCGAAGGAGCCTGTCACAAAGGCAGAGATGCTGACGATTTTCGTCAACAGGTACAGGGGCTACTTTCCTATGATCTTCAGGAAAGCCCGTGAGTTCATAGAGATTCTTTTTGGCATTGCCCTGACAGAAGTGGGCCCCGACCACTCCTATGTCTTTGTAAATACATTAGACCTCACCTGTGAAGGGAGTCTGAGTGATGAGCAAGGCATGCCCCAGAACCGCCTCCTGACACTTATTCTGAGTATAATCTTCATAAAAGGCTCCTGTGCCTCTGAGGAGGTCATCTGGCATGTGCTGAATGGAATAGGGGTATGTGCTGGGAGGGAGCACTTCATCTTTGGGGAGCCCAGGGAGCTCCTCACTAAAGTTTGGGTACAGGAACATTACCTGGAGTACCGGGAGGTGCCCAACACTTCTCCTCCACGTTATGAATTTCTTTGGGGTCCCAGAGCCCATTCAGAAATCAGCAAGACAAAAGTAGTAGAGTTTTTGGCCATGCTAAACAATACCATCCCTCGTTCCTTTTCACCCTCGTACAAGGATGCTTTGAAACATCTAGAAGAGAGAGCCCAGGCCACAATTGACACCACAGATGACTCCACTGTCACAGACGGTGCAAGCTCCAATGTTTCCCAGCCCGTCTTCCCCTGAGCAAAGTCTAAGGCAGAATCTTCCTTTTGAGTGTGAACAGGGCAGGCGAGTTTCTATGCCATGGAGGGCCCGGGTGAAGCTGGCGAGAACACAGTGTTTGCGTTTCTGTTCCATATGGTAGTTTAGAGATTTACCTTTTTTACTTTGGGGTATTTTTCAAATGCTTTTCCTTTTAATAACAGGTTTAAATAGCTTCAGAAACTTAGTTTATGGAGTTTATGAATATTAGTCACACATGTACTGCTGTTTAAGTGGTTTAGGGGGTAACGGTTTGATAGTTTGTAAAACACACACACACACACACACACACACACACACACACGATTGGGAAAACCTGCCTATCTGTGGTCTGTCACACGTTAATATGGTATTACTGTAGCAATTTTCTTTAAACTGTAAAAGAACTCTGGAGTTGAATAGTGGAACAAAACAAAGGATTGTTAATATTTGCATTTCCTCATACCCTTTAGTCTGTTGTTCTTGAAAATTAAAGATACGTACCTGGTTTTCTTGGCTTGTTTAATAAGTAGCAGAGATTAAATGATAATAAATAAAATATCACGGACTCCTTTATTGACGAACATTATATCAGCATTTGCTCATGGAAGTTACGGTTAGTAGTGAAGTTACTATTAAAAGCAAGACTTACACCTACTCATAAAACGGTAGAGTATAGGTACAGAAGCCATATCGGGAACTTGGTAAGATTTTCTCTTCAATCTAAAGAGTAAGTTTAAAAAGGAGTGGGGCGGTGAGACTCCAGTTGGAGCCTTCAAACAAAAAGGCCCTGAGCTAAGGCAGTTTTGGGCTTCGGGAAACTGCACTTGCTTCTGTGGAGCTGATTTTTATGAAGCTGGGTGGTGGCGGGGCCCAGACTCTCAGAAGGTGAGAGAAAAGCCTGGAATGGAAAGCTACTTGAGCAGTTCCCTCTGGGTGAAGGATGAGGCAGAGAGGAGTCTCCACATGGGGAAATAATGGGAGGTGTCCTGCAGCTCTTGTGCACTTGAACACAGTACTTTTGTCCAGCCCCAGGACTTTCCCACGTTATAGCACTGTCCTTGCGATCTCCCGTGTGCTCTCGTGCAACTATGGAACCTGGCCTGCTGACTAACTTGTCACCGTGTTTCCCACTCTGAAGGCTTGTACCCAGCTCTCAGTGCAAGACGCCATTGACATCTACCCTTCCCCTAACATAGACACTCTTTGTCTCTGCAGAAGTTCCCTGACTGATCCATCCCTCTCCCTGGCTCCTCTGTGATAACAGACTTTGATGTGAATATACACTTTGAATCGTGACATTTCCATACATATGCTGGGCATCCTCACCACATTCTCAACATATTTCCAAATAGACTGCAGAGTAAAATCTAATTTGTCACACAATATACTTGTTTTAGGGATGTAAGCCTATGGTAGATATAGCCTATTTGAAATCATCCTATTATTTGATATTTGTAGTAGGGTTTTAATAAAATGCATTATTTGAAACAGGGCACTGAACCCAAATACAGATGAATGAGCTTTTGTAGGTGATCAAATGCCAATCTTTCCTTAATAAACTTTGTAGATAAGGAAAGACTATAGAAATCACTTTGCAAATGATCTACAAGAAGACGAATTTCTAAAAAAACAAAAAAATCTTGAAACCTGCCTAGGAGGTAAGAAGGGTACTTTGTGGACATGCCAGCTCTGATGAGAAAAAAAAGTTATAGTTAAACATCCTTCCCCTGTCTCTTTTCTGTGTACCTGCCCCACAGGAAAATCTTTTTTTGCAGTGTGCCACAGGCACATGTATAGCTGTTCAGGAATGTTCCATCGTATGGAGGGTGGCCGAGGCTCACAGGTAGATATTTATCATACACCAAAACTAGGAGAGTATTGTCAGCCTAAAGAAATTATATAGCTTATTAAAAGGACAGTGCAAAGTGCTATTGAGGGAATAAGGTTGACTCTCCCTGCCAAGATTTACAAAATTGTTTTAAAACAGGATGTAATCTTGTTTTTGAAACCACGAGTCACTTTGTTGGTGCAAGAAAATGTTGTAAGATTTCAAGGCTCTGCTGACATTCCCAGAAATAATTTCCAAGAAATGAAGAAACTGTCATAAATTATAATAGTTGGTTTTAATTGAGCACCATAATAACATATGGGAGAAACTACAAGTGCCCATTTTCATTTGTCTACCTCACCTTCTTGGGTGGTTCATTTATAGTTAGAAGCCAGTGCTTCTGTTGGCTGCATAAATGTCTTCTTTTCAAAAGTGTCTGTTTATATCCTTTGCTCACTTTTTGATGGGGTTGTGTTTTTCTTGTAAATTTGTTTACATTCTTTGTAGGTTCTAGATATTAGCCCTTTGTCAGATGGGTAGATTTCAAAAATATTTTTCATTCTGTTCGTTGCTCTTTCACTCTAATGATTGTTTCTTTTGCTGTGCAGAAGCTCTTAAGTTTAATTAGATCCCATTTGCTTATTTTGGCTTTTGTTTCCATTGCTTTTGGTGTTTTAGTCAAGAAGTCTTTGTCCATGCCTATGTCCTGAATGGTATTGCCTGGGTTTTCTTCTAGAGTTTTTATGGTGTTAAGTCTTTTTGTTATTTATATTTATATACTCTTGTACTGACTATATGTTAAAAGTTGTAATTATTATTTTGATTGGTTCATTGTTTAATCTTTCAACTTAGAATAAGTGTAGTTACACATCACAACTACATTGTTATAATATTCTGGCTTATTCTGTGTGCTTACTACTACCAGTGAGTTTTGTACCTTCAATTATTATTTATTGGTCATTAATATCCCTTTCCTTCCAATTCAAGTACTTCCTTTAGGATTTTTTGTAGAACAGGTCTGGTATTGATTAAATTTCTCAGCTTTTGTATATCTGAGAAGGTGTTTATTTCTCCTTCATGTTTAAAGGATATTTTGTCAGGTATGTTATTCTAGGATAACAGCTTTTTGCCCTTTGGCACTTTTTAAATATGTTATAAAACTGTCTCCTAGCCTGTCAGGTTTCTAATGAAAGTCTGCTGCCACACCTATTGGAGCTCTTTTGTATGTTACTTGTTTGTTTATTCTTGCTGCTTTTAAGATTATTTCTTTATCTTTGACCTTTGGGAGTTTGATTAGTAAATGCCTTGAGGTAGTCTTCTTTGGGTTAAATCTGCTTGGTGATCTATAATCATTTTTTGAACTTGGATATTGATCTCTATCTCTAGGTTTGGGAAGTTCACTGATATTATTGCTTTGAATAAAGTTTCTGCCTGTATGTCTTTTCCTACCTCCTCTTTAAGGTCAATAACTCTTATATTTGCCTTTTTGAGGCTATTTTCTAGAGCTATATGCATGCTTCATTGTTTTTTTTGTTCTTTTTTTGTTTGTTTTCTCTGACTGTGTATGTTCAAATATCTGGTCTTCAAGCTAACTAATTCATTCTTCTGCTTGATAAATTCTGCTGGTAAAAGACTTTTATGCATCCTTCAGTAAGTCAGTTGCATTTTTCAACATCAAAATTTCTGTTTGACTCAGTATAATTATTTCAATCTCTTTATTAAATTCATCTGATAGAATTGTAAATTCTGTGTGTTATCTTGAATTTCTTTGAAAGTCCTCAATATATCTATTTTAAATTTTCTGTCTGAAAGGTCACATATGTCTGTTTCTCCAGGATTGTTCCCTGGTGCCTTATTTAGTTCATTTGGTGAGGTCATGTTTTTCTGGATGGTGTTGATGCTAGTAGATGTTCTTCAGTGTCTTGGCATTGAAGATCTAGGAATTAGATATTTATCGTAGTCTTCACTGGCTGGGGTTATTTGTAGCATCCTTTTGGAAAGTCTTTCCTGATATTTGGAAGGACGTAGGTGTTGTAATGTAAGCTGTATATGCTTTAGGGAACATACCATGCTGACCATTAATGCTATGATTTCTGCAGACTTCTAGAGGTACTGCCTTAATACCTTGTACAAGACCCAGGAGAATTCTCTAGGTTATAAGGCAGAGACTCTCATTCTCCTCACTTATTTTCTCCCAAGCATACACAGTCTCTCTCTCTGTTCTGCAACTCCTAAAGCTTGGGGTGGGATGACATTAGCACCCCTGCTGCCACCACCACTTTCATTGCACTGACTCAGACCTGATGCCAGCACAGCACTGGGTCTCACTCAAGGCCTGCTGTAACCACTCCCTGGCTCTTGCCTATGTTTACTGAAGGCCCCAGGGCCCTACAGTTAGAAGATTGAAAAGCCAGTTGGGCTTGTGTCCTTCCCTTGAGGGTAGCCAGGGCCGGCAGGGCCTGGATAGGTCTGGAGGTACTGTCTGCGAGTCAGGTACTAGAGTTAAAAACCTTGGAAGTCTACCTGATGTTCTATTGCATTGCAGCTGGGCTGTAACTTAAGAGTGGGAAGATGTCATCCTCCCACTCTTTTTTCCCCTTTTCAAAGGCTGAGGAGCCTCACACCATAACCATCACCAGAGTCTACAAGAAGCACTGCCAGACTACAGCAGATGTCACTTAGGGTCTGTGGTTTTTTAAGTCAGCTTGCAGTCAATACTTCCTGGCCTGTTACTCCTTCTTTAAGGCAATGGGCTCCCCTTTGGGTCAGGGCAGGTTCATAAATGCCATCCAAGAGTCCTAAAATCGGGAACCCCAAGAGCCCACTTGATGCTTTAACACTCTTTGGCTGTGCTGGTATCTGGTGCAAGACAAAGTCACCTTAGCTTTTCCCTTTCCTTTTCTCAAACAGAAGGAGTTTTCCTGGTAATATGCTGAGTCTCTCCTGAAGCCAGCAATTTTCAAAGGTTCACCAATGCCCTTGATGTAGTACCTGGGTATCACTATTCCTTATTCAGGGCCCAAAGGCTCTTCAGTTAGCAGGTGATAAATGCTCCCAAGACAGTGTCCTTTTCTTCAAGGCAGCAAGTTCTCTTCTGGCTCAGAGTGTGTCTAGAAAGGTCACCTAGGAGCTAGGTCTTGGAATGTTGGAATTCACTTGGAGTGGCTAGCAAAATGTTAGGGAAATATTAAGGAAGGTTAGAAGATTATAGTCACAAACCTTTTGGAAGGCCAAAAGGTTTTAATAGAAAGGGCTGAAGGCAGCCAGTTCATTATGTTAGAACTTTAAGTCATTGCGTAAAAGATAGGGACAAAAAAACTTCCCCAGTTAAGCCTGTTTACCCCACCTTCCTTTGTCCCTACTCTAATTTGTTTACTCATGTAAACTTTGTGCTGGATGGTCCTCCCAGGGGGAGGTCAAAGGGGAATTACCCGTTAATTGTGTTTATTCTGGGCCCTGAATCAAGACTTTTTATCATTCATAAAACCATTCTTTTAACCATGTTAATTATCCACAAGCATGTTGACATAGAACCTCTGTTATTAAATCTATACTCAATAAATGTAAGGAGGACAGGGAATCGTGGTTGGTTAGCTGCAATCACCCTCTGAAAGCAGCTGATGACCATCCCTAGCCCACTCAGATTCACTGTATTCTGGTGTGTGTGAGTGTATTTTATTCATCCATCATTGAGTCAGGGT